CCCCGCATAGTACCAACTGGATTAAATTTTCTATTAGAAACAACCCTCAAAGTTCAAAATTGAAATATTTTTAATGCTCCAAAAGTAACAAGACATCTTAGAAGATGACCAACACATAAAAAAATTGCATATCATCGTAAAATTAAAATATAGGTATTCATCACTCCACTCAGAATCTAAAATTAAAATGCATAAAAATACTTAAGAAATATACTTTATTAAATTATTAAATAATAATAACTTTTAAGAATCCACTAGGAGTAATGACACTAGGTTGTACTTGCGAATTACACGCCCCTTCACACTTGTTCACTGCTATGTCACCATTACATGTCCTCTGAAGTCGTCCAAGTTCGTCAAATTCCTCTAAACGTAACAAACAACATTAAAGTGTTGTTATTCAACTGATACAGGTTATGTTAGAATTGTTTTAAATAAAACATTAAAATGTACCTTTAATGATATGCAATTCAGAAGGTAAAGTCTCACATTCTTCTGGGTTATTTTCTGCAAGTACGTTATTATGTACGATAATAATCGCGACAGAGATGATAAACAATTGAGTCGTGTACATAATGGCTAATAAGTATTTAGTTAAAAATTAAAATGTGATAAAATATGACAAWATGTGTTGTAYACAGTATAAGTAAATAAGTACTTACGCAATTTAGTTGGCAATGTTAATTGAAGTAATCCAGATCAGCGACTGATCAGTTATAGTAGTGACTGTTAACGTTCACGACAAAACTGTTTATGACTTCCAGAGTATATATTAAAGCTTTAGCTTTAAACAAACATAAGTGCTGCTGGACAGAGAGGGTGGTTTAACTGATCACCAGGGGGTCTTGTAGTATAACGTTTTTGTGATGTCGAAACAAAATATCTCACTAACAGATTTTATTTATTAAAGTAAATATAATTTAGGTACTATAACGGAGTAAAAAAAATTGTTAATTATTCTCCAAGTTATAAATAATAAATATTCTAAATACAAAATTAATATATACCAATTATTAGTATAATAATATATTTATAAAATATAATTTGAATTAGCCTTTCCCCAATGAAATCTATCTACTAATAACCTATATGTAATAGGTATGGGACATACCTATAGGCGTGTACTATGTAGGCGTGTAGCTACATATTRATTTTATATTATAGATGGTACCGATTATTTACATATATTTTGTATTTTATTCACTATACAATTATTATACAATTAAATAAAACTTAAAATGTTAAGCCATATTTAAAAATAGCAAATACATTTATGATAATTTATGTAGAATATTAGTAAATCATACAAACACTTTTATAGTTTTATTRCCTACTAATCATCATAATATAATATAGTCCAGAGGTATTCAAACTGTGCGTCACGGCTCCCAGGTACGTCGCTAGAGTTTGCAAAGGGAACCGWGTCAAAGTACTGAAAGCTAACRCATCATACTTAGGTCTTATACTCTTGTATAATTATTATAAATATTATTTGCAATCATTATGGAAATGAAAGCCATCACACACCTTACGAAGCGACCATTTAAAGTTTTATTTTTAGTAYTAAAGTCACTGCAATTATTATCACTCATATAACACATTGGTCATATTTTATCAGTGTGTTGTTTCAATTTTTTTATAATAATTTGAGAGCAGTCAAAATATTGTGAACACCCAAATGAGCCGTGGGATACAAAAGTTTGAATACCTCTGATATAGTCGATATAAGTATGTATACTGTCAACTGTCTCTAAAAATGCTTTCTAATTTGYAATCTGAGTAATTTCTACCATACAACCAGGAGTTCTCTAAGGGACAATAATARCCTTTATCCTGTTCAACATCCTCAAAGYAKATCAACCCACTTCTCCCTACAAATTTTTCACAGAATACGCTGATGAAAAAAGCAATTCTTTTACAGTAAATTAATAACAATGATAAGTATTAGCATCAAATATATATTAAAATATAGTTATAGAATAATAATAATATAATCATAAAATGTGGCATGATGTGGGGTGGTTATATATACATATATTTTTATATTTCAGTAATTATTACGTGTTCTGAATGTCATGACATGCACCGGCCGGTGTTACTTGTTCCAGCCTTCCAGGATGGGTGATCAGTCAATAGTGACAAATCCATTCCACCCAAACACGTAACACCTAAMCCCCATAATAGCCTAATAGTTGACAGGCTCAAAATCAAAAAGAAAAAATACAAAATACAAAACAAAAATAACAAAGTATAAAATATATTTTACTTTTTAAGTTAATTTTCGATTTCTGTAAGATAACATTTTTGTTTGTGAGTAAAAAAAAATTGGAACTGTAATAAAATATTCACCATATAAGTTGTTCTTATTGAAATTCAAAACATAGAAAAATAAATAGTCTCAATTTTTTTTATAGAAATAGGAATTAAAATAATCAAATTAANTTGTAGAAAATGACAGATGTAATAAATTCATTATGACAATAACATATTATTTATATATTATTATCAATTATTAAACGATTATTTATTAACTATTTAAATTACAGTTGTTTAATAAATGTATTATTAGGCACAGCAAATTATTTTTAATGTAAGAGCACACCGGCTTAAATGTATTATAGAGGATTTGGACTTGGTATTCCTAAAAAAATTAATCACCCCCCCCCCTCAAGATGAGGTCCCAGATACGTGCCTGTACAGATATTGAGTGTATCTGCTGTAGTCATAGAATAATTATTAAGTTACTGTGATGTATTTTCAATTTAAATTCAATGATATAACCATCACTGCATACAAAAATAATTCTGAACGATAATATGGTCTGTCAGATTAATATTTAATATGTTTATGATATAATATATAAATTATATTGCTTTTAGTTATATATAGTTATTAGTTATATACCACTATAGTAAGTAGGTTGAATTAATTTTTTCCGAAAACATTGCGCTTGAAAATGTCATTGTGTCATTGTGTGTTTAAACTAGGGAACATCAATTAATAATTTTGAAAGGCCACATGTGGAATAAATTTTATAAATTCCTAATACATTAGGAACCCTGAAATTGTTCGCGGGCCATCAAAATTGGAGGTGTTATAACCAATTAACAAAAACGGTAAATTAGATACAACATCAGAACGGTTTTACTTTTTTCTCTTGTCAGCGGGCCGCCATTTGGTGACACCTGGTATAAATTATGATAATAGGTATACCTACGTTAAAATTTTAAGTCCCGATGAATAATATTTTTGAATTACAGCCGAATAACTAAAATCGTTATTCTTTATTTAATTAATTATAATGTTGTCCACATTCGAACATCAAATTTCTACAGTAAAAAAATATTCTGATATATATTTTTATAGAATTTTTGGTTTCAGTATCACAKTATGAACTACTTACGAGGAAACTTGTATTAAAATGTCAAGCTTTAAGCATACAAATTGAGCATTTAATAAATGTTTGACTACACACTWTAAACTTCAAATTATATAATATTTATAAAAAAAATCGTACCTTTGTATCATTCATATTTTGAAATAGATACAATAACAACTTATTAGGAATCTCGTATGAAATTTTCAAGTTTTTTGGTCAAGCGATAAATTTATATTTTTTTCTACCCCCTCYCCCCGCATAGTACCAACTGGATTAAATTTTCTATTAGAAACAACCCTCAAAGTTCAAAATTGAAATATTTTTAATGCTCCAAAAGTAACAAGACATCTTAGAAGATGACCAACACATAAAAAAATTGCATATCATCGTAAAATTAAAATATAGGTATTCATCACTCCACTCAGAATCTAAAATTAAAATGCATAAAAATACTTAAGAAATATACTTTATTAAATTATTAAATAATAATAACTTTTAAGAATCCACTAGGAGTAATGACACTAGGTTGTACTTGCGAATTACACGCCCCTTCACACTTGTTCACTGCTATGTCACCATTACATGTCCTCTGAAGTCGTCCAAGTTCGTCAAATTCCTCTAAACGTAACAAACAACATTAAAGTGTTGTTATTCAACTGATACAGGTTATGTTAGAATTGTTTTAAATAAAACATTAAAATGTACCTTTAATGATATGCAATTCAGAAGGTAAAGTCTCACATTCTTCTGGGTTATTTTCTGCAAGTACGTTATTATGTACGATAATAATCGCGACAGAGATGATAAACAATTGAGTCGTGTACATAATGGCTAATAAGTATTTAGTTAAAAATTAAAATGTGATAAAATATGACAAWATGTGTTGTAYACAGTATAAGTAAATAAGTACTTACGCAATTTAGTTGGCAATGTTAATTGAAGTAATCCAGATCAGCGACTGATCAGTTATAGTAGTGACTGTTAACGTTCACGACAAAACTGTTTATGACTTCCAGAGTATATATTAAAGCTTTAGCTTTAAACAAACATAAGTGCTGCTGGACAGAGAGGGTGGTTTAACTGATCACCAGGGGGTCTTGTAGTATAACGTTTTTGTGATGTCGAAACAAAATATCTCACTAACAGATTTTATTTATTAAAGTAAATATAATTTAGGTACTATAACGGAGTAAAAAAAATTGTTAATTATTCTCCAAGTTATAAATAATAAATATTCTAAATACAAAATTAATATATACCAATTATTAGTATAATAATATATTTATAAAATATAATTTGAATTAGCCTTTCCCCAATGAAATCTATCTACTAATAACCTATATGTAATAGGTATGGGACATACCTATAGGCGTGTACTATGTAGGCGTGTAGCTACATATT